TGAAACAGCAATTTCAAAATATAAAACACAATTTAAAAGTTATTTGACAAGAAGTCTCCACTAGTCATCACCCACCTGTTGTATGCAAAGGTGTACCTTTTTATGGCAGCAGTTATGGCTATTTATTGGGTATGGGTATTACTTGGGGTTATTCAGAATGTATGAAATAATACTTTGTCTGATTCCCTGTATTTCATTTGTAACGATCAGCTATTAAGGATTTAAAACAGGGCACTTTTATAGTGTTTTCTATTTCTGATGCATTAGCTTGAACTTATTTATGCAAAAGCTTCTTTGGACTGCAAGAATCTCTCAAGCTAAAGGCATCTTAGGAAAAAAAAAAAAACAACAAAAAACATAAATAGAACTTATATGCTGCAAAGAAGTTTTCACATAAATGAAAATCCAATGCAGTAGCTACAAGGTCTTTGTGTTTATCTAGTAGTGTAAAAAATTGAGTGGTTTAAAAAGAATGCTTTCCCTGGGGAGGGTGTGTGTGGGAAGCATGAGCAGAAAGCATAAGCTACATCTCACTCCATGAGATTTACTTGTGGATTCCTCATGATTCAGAGTGGTGTAAGGTGGAGGACAGGAGTTTTGTTTTTTCTTTGTTCCCCACTTCCTCCCTGCTCCCTTCCTTCCACCTGGAAAGACTGAGACTGGAAAACCTGATGTTTAACACCTGGCTACCCAGCTATTCTCATCAAGAAGGCTTTGACTTTTGCAATCGTGGAAGGTACTTTGATGAAACAGGTTACTGGGGAGAAACGAGGCCTGGCTATCTAGGATAGATAGGAAGGAGAATCTTCTCTGGCAGGCTGGCTGCCTTAGTGAATTAGGCCCTAAACTAACAAACCTGGGTGATTGGGCCCTAAACCAGGCTATTCACATGTTTGTGAGCAACAGGGTGGAAGAGTGCACCTATCAGAGGTGAGGAATGTCCTCCAGCTGTCCAAAAAAGGCTTGGTCAAAAAGGATGGATAGCTGGTCCAGATTAAGTGCCTCTATACAACCACTCACAGCAAAGGTAACAAACAGGAGGAGCTAGTAGCCACTGCACAGCTGGAAAACTGATTTGACTGATACTTGGTGGGACAAATCACACAAAGGGAGTGCTGCAACTGATGGCTATAAACTATTCAGGAGGAAAAGTGAGGCAGAAAAGGTGAAGGAGTTGCCCTCTATGAAAAAAAAAAAGGGGGGGGGGGGGGAAGGAGGTATTGACTGCATGGAGATGTCTTTGAGGAAAAACAACAACATACATATTGACATCTTACGGGTGAAAATTAGAGACCAAGTGCAGGGTCCTGCACCCGGGATGGGTCGGTCACAAAAAAAGACTGGGTGATGACTGGACACAGAACTGTCCTGTGGAGAAGGACCTTGGGATACTGGTGGATGAACATGTCTATATGAGCCAACAATATGCATTTGTAGCCCAGAAAGTCAACTGTTCCCTGGGGTGCAACTAAAGAAGATCAAGGAGATGATTCTCCCCCTCTGCTCTCATGAGACCCCACCTGGATTGCTGTGTTCAGGTCTGGGACCCCCAGCACAAGGACATGGCTGTATTGGAATAAGGCCACAAGAACGATCATAGAGCTGCAGCACCTCTCTTGTTTAAACACAGGCTGAGAGGGTTGGTGTTGTTCAGCTTGGAGAACAGAAGCTCCAGGGAGACATTATAGTGGCCTTCTAGTTCCTAAAGGGGACTACAGGAAAGCCTGGGAGGGATTCTGTCAAGGCATGTCGTGATAAGACAAGGGCTAATGGCTTTAAACTAACAGAGGGTAGATTTAGATTAGATATTAGGAAGAAATTCTTTACTCAGAGGACAGTGAGGAACTGGCACAGGTTGTCCAGAGAAGCTGTGGATACCCTCTGCCTGGAATTGCTCAAGGCCAGGTTGGATAGAGCTTTGGGCAACCTGATCTAGTGGAAGGCATCCGGCCCATGGCAGGGGACCAACCCAAACCATTCTGTGACTCTATAATTTACTGTGAACACACAGTGATGTCTCTAAATTATGACTCTCTCTCTCTCTCTCAATCTCTCTCTTGTTTTCACGATCACCCTTCCATTGGATGATTTGCAAGTTTAAAATTTCAGGTTTTTCTCCTTATATGCAGTTCCTTTTTTTTTTTTTTTTTTTTTTTTCCCCACAGCTCAGTGCCAGGTGGTTTAGTATTCCCTCTACTTTAATTATCTTTATAAACCTTATTTGACATTGTAGCATGAGAATTGTTCTTGCTATAGTATTTGAGTATCTTGCCAGATGGCAACAGGGGAATTCTCTCATACTTGTGAATTAGTTTGACATCACCTAACAGTGAGAGCTTGCTTAGGGTGTAAAGGTGCATGGCGACAGCACCAGCACAGTGAGCTCTGCTGTGCATTCCATGTGTTCATCAGATGCAGTAGGTATTAATTGGGTTATATGTGTATCTTAGCATGAAATTCAAAATCATCCTCAAGAAAAAAGATAAGTACCTCTTCCAGATGGCCATGAAAACTTTTCCTAGCTGACAGATTATTGTAAGAAAAGACAGTATTCTTGCAAGAGTAAAGCACATCACTGTTAATGCTTTAACTCACTGCTGGCACAAGGTAAGATATGTCAGCATCATGACAGTATTTCTCATCTTGCTTAGATTTCAGACATAGTCTTTGTTATAGCTGGCTTCCTACCTGTATAACTCCAAAACTGCCAGATTAACATAAGGGTTATTTAAATGTTTGGGGGAAAAAAAAAAAAAAGGAAGACTGAAATAATATCAACTAGCAAAACTCTGCTGAGTACAAAATCTAGTCATTTGGGGAAAATGAACTGGCTTATACAAATACTGGAAGAAAAGCAACTTGTTGCCATGTGGTCAGTGTGACCTGTCTTCATTATCACTGTAACACTGCTGATAAGGAGCTTAAAAGGTACATCTGAACTGGATACAGGTAGGTGATGCTGTGGCAGCTCCCATATTGTAGATGAACACACACTTTATTGAGAAGTAATAGTGTCATAAAACAGCAGGAGGATGTAAGTTAGAAGTAAAAAAAGATGTTAGGCTTTTGAATCCATCTTCTGTTAGTGAAGGGCTGTGGAGGACTGTTGCCTGCAGTACATTTTCTCATACTTTGTCTGATCTACTTTGTCCTGTATAATAGTAGTTTCCGTAATTTCCCTGAGGAGGAACAGATGACAGTTTAGTAGCTCTCATTGTCAGGAAGCTGCTGTTGGTACTCTGCCTGCTTTCCTTTTCCCAACTCCATCTCATAACTCTGAACAATTTCCTGAGTTGCACTCTAAACAATGCTGCTCCTTCTGTCTCCACGCTGCAAAAGGATGGCGACTGGTGGGACATCTACGGGCTCCCAGAGGCTAGTCCATGGCAAGTGGCATCTCCAGGGAGCAGCCCAAAACCAAGGGAGCTCCTGCATCCACATTACTGTAGGGGCAACCCTAACACAGTCTCCCTGTTATGCATATACTTCTGTGCTCACTGCAGGTAGTCAGAGAAATATCTTAAATTTTGCCTCTGAGACATATTCCACAGTCCCAGGCAGGCTTTGTGCCCCACCCTCCTTTTGGAAATCCTTGCATTGTAGCATAAAGCATGCTCAAGGTTTCCCAATGCACCAGTTAATTTTCCATACGCCGGGCCCTGGGTTGATGAGGGCCTCAAAAAGAACATAGGAAATATATTTCCTGTGGCATTAACAGATGTGCCTGCCTTAGTGGCACTAAGAAACATGGTTTAACCATGAGACTCAGTAGGTCAGGCAGGTAGTTGGACTTGATGACCTCGAAGGTTTCTTCCAACCTCAATGATTATATGATTCTATAAATAGATACTTTAATGAGTTGTTATTTCATGCTTTGTTATTACCCAACAGCACCTGGTTCAATTTATTGATTACTCCTCTGATAAATTTGCATTCCTAAGAAACTCACAGACTTCAAGGATTTGTATCCATAACATAAAAAACTTTTACATACTTGTAACATTTTGATCTGCTAAATTACCAAAACAAAGTATTCGCTAAAACTTTAGTGACATTTCATTAAAAAATAAAACAAAATAAAAGTTGCTATCCGGTCCTGAGAATACATTAGTAATGTCAGTTGGTAGGCAATCACCCAACAGCAGTAGTTTCAGAGATTAATCATTTTTATTAATTGTTCATTTTTTCCCAAATTGTAACACAACACTGCTTATAATAATAATAATAATAGGATTTTCAAAAATTTACCATCAGTTAAGCAGGTGGTTACTTCTAATCGGTCTCTGGCTGAGAGAAGACTTAACAAATGATAATCATAGAGCTTACTACAGAGTCAGAGTAATCATGAAGCTTACTTCAGTCATGCATAAAGTTTCAATAGTGTTTGAATTTCATAAGAACTTATCCAGCTCAGCTAACATGTGCTATTTAAACACCTTTTTACCCATGTTGCTGTTATTACAAGAAAGAGTATTACTTCTGAAGAAATAAAAGAGGCATTATTAGATTTTAATTACAGTCAGTCAGTAAGGTCATTAGCAAAGGCATTTATCAGCTGAGAAATAGAGTGCCTTTGAAATATCAAGAAAAATACTAAGCCTGTGGCTAAATGAAAGAAAGGTTCTAGCATCACTAACCCTACCATTGTGCTTAAAATCTTTAATTTATGGTGAAGATATATGTCTCAATGCAGGAATAGCTTAAATAAACTTAACCGAGAATAATATAAAACTTTAAGTATATAACAAACAGCCATGCCAAGGTATCATTTATTCTTTAGTTTGTGAAATTATATAAAGAGTAAAGAAAAAGAAAATGAAGTTAACCAAAAAAAAGGAAGTTAACCAAACCAACAGTTTTAAAGTCTTCACTTTAGAGGTCTTATGTCAACATAGATACACATGACAATCAACTTACATTTGAATGAAAGCAAACTTGGAATAAATATTTTGAAATATGTAGTTTTCTAAAATAAGCACTGCCATTTGTGTCATTCTTACCTGCAGAGGTTTTCACAATTTCTGAAGTATTTCTGAGACCCATAAAGTCAAACTGATAGAGTCTCCAAGACTTCTGGTCAGCAGCCTCTACTGAGTTTTTTCTCCATCTGTAAATCATTTCTTCTTTAGGGTAGCCATCTATAAATAAATAAATAAATAAATAAATGCATATATACATTTTATTTCATAAAAAGGACAGTGCCAAAAAGTATCTGCCTCATATTTGAGAACAACTCGGTTTCTGATCTGATGCTTTGTCAGTGATCTTGGTAGCAGAATTCAACAAAAGAGTAACAAGACACACAAAAATAGAGCTGTAATTTGAGGAATGCTATGATTCTGCATGATTTTTTTTTCCCAATGGAGAAAAATTCTGATTTGTTCTATCAGAAGTAGATTTCTTCAGAGATGCCATTGATTTGAAGTCCAGACATCCAGACATAGTAAATATACTGATTTACATGCATTCTGAATATGTTGTGAAAACTAATAAAAGGAAAAAAAAAATGGTGGTGGGAAAGATGTAAACAATTGAAAAGGACAGATTGTTTTAAATGTGACAATAGTTCTAATGGTATGTGTGCTACTGTACTTACAAGATGAACTCAAAACAACGCAGAAACTTGTGAATTTTTTAATTAGCCTGGGATTTTTAATGTGATTATACCATCAACATACTTTAAAGGCCACAGTATTTAACAAGGCATCACCTGATCTACACAGCTGAAATAGCTTCTGAAAGTCTTCCTTTATCAATTTAGAACTTAGAAAACAGAATTCACATGCCAATATTTAATTTCCTTTTTTTTTTGTAAGAGATTGCATTTTCCAATAGCAGTCCAACAGAAAATTTTCAACCAGCCTTAATGATAATAATAGACCATCTAGAAAACAACATGCCCACAACAGTTAAGACTAGATTGTTCTCTAATGCATAATCCAATACATTCCTATTCATCTAATAATTAATACAGTAGGTGTAGATTACAAAGCAAATTAAAAACCTAACAATAGGCAGTTAATATACCTATCTCATCAGTATTTTTTTTCCCCATGAGTTACTAATAAGTTTTGATATTTACGTTGCAAAACACCTTCTGTGGTCATGGTGCTATTTCTTTGATGTGTTCCTATCTGCAATTTTGTCATGTTGTTTAAAGTTTCATCCCACTGGGGCATTGTTATAAGGTGTACATGACCTCATTTATCCCTTTTCATAACACAGCATGAAAATTACCCACAAGTCCCTCAATTCTAATCTGTAGAAAATTACTATGTGTTAATTCAAAATGTAACATTCACATATTTTCCATCAATGTAAATAAAGGAACAACACATGAAGAACCCAACTGAATAATAAGCACAAGCCCTGCCACTCTCCACAAGATCTCTTGCTGCCAAGCAATTTTCACTGCCAATTCTGTTGTGCCAGTTTGTGAGATTGATTTAAAGATTAATTTTTTTTTTGACTGGCAGATTATGGCAGAAGATGCAGAGGTACAGTGAAAGAATAGAGAGCTTTGCAGGGTCTGGTGGCCTTAGCCATGAATACTCTGAAATCTCCTTGAGCCTGACTCCTATTTGACTGAGCACTCTGATCACATTTCTAACCAATGTCTTTGTCTAACTGAAAGGCCTACATTTTACCTCAAAAACCTTCTTAACTTGGTTTAATTTGGATACTTTTTTCCCCACAGTTCAGGACAAAAGAGGCATCAGATGTCCTCCTCATCATGCTGTGGCTGCTGTGTTCTCACACCAGGTGGCAGTGGCAGAATTGTCCCCTCCCTTCAAAGCAGAATTGGGATTACAAGGGAGGCTGCCAATGTGTTCTGTACCTCCTAGTATGCATGTGCTTCCCAATACAGAGGAAATGAAACCACTGTCCTCTGGCACTCTCTGCACCAGCTCACACTGCAGAACTTGTTGCCCAAGCACTAATTTTCAGATTTTGTAGCAGGCAGGACCCCTTTTCTCAGGTGAATTCAAAAATATTCTCTCATAAAAATCACATTGAAGACACCAAAATATTAGGATCTGAAAAATGTGGGATTGTGTCTGCATTATGACAGGAGAAATTTGATCAGCAAGAGATAACTCCAGAGAGTATGGATCTTTCTTTGGTGACACACTGTGTTCACTAATATTTTGGAAGGAAAGAACAGCTTCAGGATGGTTGAAAGTGTCAATTTATTTCATTTGACATATTCAAAATTAAAGATTTCAGCTCTGAAATATTTCAGTTGAACATTTTAAAAATTAAATCTTTAAAATTTTAACTTCAAAGATATATTTTTATTTTATTTTATTAAGGTTTAACCATAATTATTGCAAGTAAAAATATTTTAAATATCCTGGAAGTAACATTTTCTTAAACATATTATTTTAGGTGGATCTAAAATGAACATTTTACTTTTCTTCCAAGCTTTACTGAAATAGTTGTGTCAATTAGTCTTTAATTCAACTTCTTTGCCCCTTTGTATGTGCCACTAGTGAGACCACATCTTGAGTACCGTGTTCAGGTTTGAGCCTCTTACTACAAGAAGAATATAGAGTTACTTGAGCATGTGCAGAGAAGAGCAACAAAGCTGGTAAAGGGACTACAAAGGGACAAGATACAAGGAGCAGCTAAGGGAAATGAGGAGGTTTAATCTGGTGCAGAGGAGTCCTCATCGCTCTCTATTGGTACCTGAAAGGAGGCTGCAGCAAAAAGGATGTTGGTTTCTTTTCTCAAGTGACAAGTGATACAAAGTAAGGAAATGGTGTCAAGTTTTGCCCGAGGAGGTTTCGATTGGGTATCAGGAAGAAATTTATCATGGAGAGGGCAGTCTAGCACTGGAACGGGCTGCCCAGAGAAGTGATGGAGTCCCCATCCCTGGAGGTATTTAAGAGACATCTTTGTGGTGCTTAGGGACATGGTTTAGTGGTGGACTTGGTACAGTTAGGTTGGATCTGATGACCTTAAGGGTCTTCTTCAACCCAGATGATTCTATGATTCTTCCCGATTTTTGGTCTTTCTACTTCATCCCATGGGCAGCCCACCTAAAATTCATTACAGTGTCAGTAACATGTGAAACTTGCTGTCGTATGAAGTAAGACATAGCTATTTATCCTGGTACAAGTAGCACATAGTCAGGAGCAAGCTGATGATTCTTGTTGTTCAGTATTTTTCCTGTATTTTTGTCTAAGAGACAGATTCAATTTGAGAATGACTACTTTCAGTATTACTCATTGCCATTAGATAGTAAGCAATTGACTTCAGGAGACCATCATGCCCTTTCAGTAACAGTCCCTTTTATCCACAGATACTGACATCTGCTCTTACAATGGCTGGGTTACTTACATCACAGGAGGCAGGTATGTGTGGTTCAATGGGAGTTTCAACCTGTTAAATAACAGCTGTTATGTTCAGCTCCAGTGCTGGGTGACTTTCTTTTTCAATTTATTTAAAAAATATAATATTTCTTATGGAAAAAATGACACATCTGATTGAACAGTATTTCACACCTAAGATTTACCTAACTTTCAGAGTGGACTATGACTGTTCACAATGGTACTTTCAGTGATAAGTAATATTTCTTGTATATAGCCTAATTACTTCTAGCACTCTAAATGTATCATTTTAGAAAATATCAGACTTGGAGTTTTCAGTGTTTCCAGAAGAAAACACAACCTCTACTATTCAGCCTACAACACAACTATGAATATATTATCTATAGAAATATCTGTTTTCTTTCACTTCATCAGCATACCAAATGGCAGTAAATTACCTTAAATTCTTGACCTTGTGGCATTAAGCCATCCATGCTAATCAAATTTCTATCAAATGTATTTAACCTGACAATTTGCTCTAGGGTATGTGAAAATATCCATTTTGCAGCAGAGCAAGACTCCAAGAGAACAAGGAGGGTTTTCAGTGGGTGCTAGTAAGTCAGCAAGGAAAACAGAATGGGAAAAAGACAACCCCAACAACCAAATGACACTTCTGTGTTACAGCTGTCCAAGCTCTGGTAATACGAAACTCAGGAGCTGTTCAGCCTAAGACCTCCATTCACCCTCCCCCTCCCATTAGTTTATTTGTGTGCCTTTATGTTCTGCCTTTTTTTGGCCTGATAGTTGTTTTGTATGTTCTGTTGTAGCTATTCATATCTTCCAAAGGTTTAAGATTTGTATTCTAATGTATCAAAGAGAGCACCTTGAACATTTTTTTTTTCATAAGACTGGCACTTACATGCATTTGTAAAAAGAAATCAAGAAAAAAATTGTTGAATTTATTTCTTTAAGAGCCGTGTAGGAAGTATCCATGTAATACCTCCTGTTTACTTTCACCAAACATATTTAATGGCTATTCCAGTTAATACAAATGATTGGTACCTTGATGTTTTACTCAAAGGCTTAAACATACATATTTACAAAGTGTACCACTGATTTTAACTCCAGTAATGGAAACATGGATAAGTAATAAATGCATTTTTTGCTGTTTGGGAGGTAAATTTACTATAACAGAAAGCCAAATTGTCATGACAACCTGTGAGAGTCTGTGGATTTTGTTTTATTTCCCTTTTATTATTGGAATAATTGAAGTCATGTTACCACATCTTCTCACATCACCGCCATAGCATTTATAACTGACAGGTTGAAAATAGTTAAACTTAATTCTTCATGCTCATACTGCTTCACTTTCTCTGGAGACAAAGTGGTTTGCACAGAAGCCTCTACCAAACTGCTGGAGTAATGGTCAAGGTAAGAAACATCACCAGGCTGGATAGATGTGTGCAGTCACAAGGTAGGAGAGAAAAATGGTGTCAAGTGGCACTTGAAGAACATCTGCTATAGGAATCAGTCCTGATGAAAAATCAGCAACTTCCATAATATGAAAATTGATAATATATTCATGCCTACTAGTGCATACTGACTCTAATCTTGATTTCCCCAGTGCTGTTGCTGTTTTGGGCATCTCTGATCAATGCTTGATTTCTTTGTGTTACCTTCTTTTCTGTGATAATGAACCTATTTTAGCAAGGGTATAGAAGGGAGGAAGACAGCAGAAAAGGGGTCATATCAAAAAGGACACAGACAACTGAAGGAACAAACTTCCATCCAAAAAATCTTTTATTGGAAATGTCCTCCTGAAATTA